TGAATATGTAAGGATATCTTTAAGCTTTTTTTGTGGTTGCAATGCTTTAACCAACCATTTTTTTGTTGGGAAGAAACCTGGAAGTGTATCTTTGTGTTGTCTTTGCTGGAATGATCTCATGTCGAAACAGCTTGCTTGTGTTTATGCAAGCATGTGTGTTTTACCATACACTCAGGCCATATGTAAAAGCATGCATGGAATCACTTTGCCTGGCATCCACTCCTGTAGCAGATGCCAGTAGGCATGATGCCTCCCTGGCTACGGCAGATGGCATTGTGAGCTAGGTAAAGCCAAAGGCTCAGTCCAAAACAATGAGGCCTCGGGCAAAGTGCTGACTCCAGCCTGCCCTGTTGCCAATCTTCCCTTTCTGTCGTGCTATATATAAATAGAGCCCTTAGTTGGTGGTCTGGAGACCGTTGTGTGGAACTCCTGAGCGCTTGCAGCTATTTGTTGGGTAGGTCAGGTAAGCCCTTCATGGTAGTCCTTTCAGCCACTGTGGTCATCTTTTAGCATGATGCAAACTCTAGGGGAGGGGTGCACTATCATGTAGACACAATTAAAAACTCAAAACAAAAATAGCAAGCATATTATGTGGGTGTTTTTGACAAAAAATATAAATTAATATGAATATATATGAATTTTGATTTAAAAAAATCAAATGTAAAACAAAAGACTAAATTAGTATTAAATTAAGATAAATTTAAAAATTCAATTATTAAATTAAATTAGATTAAAATGATTTTTATTGACATTTCAGAAAAATTGAAATGATTTTAATTGGCATTTAAAATAAAAAAGATTAGGCATTCTATGCTTTGCATAACATAAAACATTCTTGATATTAGTATTAGTATTTTTTTTTTTACTAGTGCTTCTGGCTAAATCTGATGTAATCTGTGCAATTTGTAGGTTTGTATATACTTTTTGATTAAGTCCTCATGTTTTGCCCATAAACCTGTCTCTTCTATTTCAGTAAGCTGTGGTTTTATTCTGTTGTGTTTGAATGTTATTGTCTAAATCAGCAGATAGAATAAGTGTGATTTATTTTGTTAGGTCTAACTTGTTGGAGCAACAAAGGCCATATCTTTCTTGTTCTTTATCCACAGGCTATTTGTACACTTGCCATAAATTATATAGAACCCATACATGTTTTTTTTGTTTGCATATCTCTGTTCTTCAGGTCTATCAGCATTGAGATATCTTCAAGGATGGCTCTGACTAATCCCATGCCACTGGGGCCATGGAAGGCAAGTAAACACTTGATGGCTATAAAATAATGCAAAATGACATATAATGCTTTGAATCTCATCTCTGTTGTGTCTGTGAATATGTGCATAGCTCACAGTCTATGACCAAGAGAACTTCCAAGGCAAGCGTGTGGAGTTCACTTCAGCCTGTCAGAACATCATGGAATGCGGCATGGACACTGTCCGTTCTCTGAAGGTGGAGTGTGGCGCGTAAGTCATGCATTCACAGACACACACATCTAAAAGAGCCCATACCAGAGGATGAATGAATAGAAAAGAACATCATTTATTTGAAATATAAATGTTTTGTAGCATTATAAAAGTTTTAATGTCACTTTTTATCAATTTAATGGATCCTTGCTGAATAAAAGTATTAATTTCTTTAAAAAAATCTTACTGATCCCAAACTTTTGAATTTGAATGGTAATGTATATATTTTATAAATATTTATTAAAAATGTACAGGTGCTACTTATATTATTCAACTTATATACAGATAATTTTTCAAATTAATGTTATCTAAAAAAAGGGAGATTTAGCTCTGAGCTTCTTGGGTTCTTGGGACACATTTGCCCCCAAACAAAGTAAACCACCTTTTGCAGTTATCTCTAATTTTCTGTGTCCATTTGAACAGCTGGGTCGGCTATGAACACTCCAGCTTCTGTGGGCAGCAGTTCATCTTGGAAAGAGGCGACTACCCTCACTGGGAGTCTTGGAGCGGCAGCAATGCCTACCACATTGAGAGGCTAATGTCCTTCCGGCCAATCTGCTCTGCTGTGAGTCTGAAACTGTGTCAACGGATCAGTGGTGAAATGATTTACCAGTCTTTCTAAGTAACAATCTCTCCAAATGTTATGATCTGCGCAGAACCACAAGGAGTCAAAGATTACCGTCTTTGAGTGGGAGAACTTTATTGGACACCAGTGGGAGATAACCGATGACTACCCCTCTCTCCAGGGCATGGGCTGGCCCTCCAACGAGATCGGATCAATGCAGGTGCAAAGTGGGGCGTGAGTACCATACTTGTCTCTACTCTCTACGCCAGGGGTGTCCAAACTGCAGAGTTTAGCTCCAACCCTAATTAAACACAAATGGACCAGCTAATCAAGTACTGCATCTGAAATCAAATACTTCTCTACTATATAGTATGCAAAAAAACAGTATGCCAAAAGAGAAGTATGTCCAAATTCACAGTATTTGAAAAACAGTAGGCGAAAAGTACCTGAATGACCTACTACTTCTGATGAGATTCTGAAGTGTGCATTTAATGGACACTTTACTATCCAATGATGTCACGGAAGTAACATGACGTAGTATTTCTGAATTTCATTCATACTACCCATATTCATACTCAGTGCTGGGAAGATTAAATTGTAGTCTGTTACCGATTACAAATTACATGACGAAATTTGTAAAATTGAGTAAAATAGTAAAATTATTAGATTACTAATGTATTCTGACTACTTTTGATTACTTTAAGATTACTTGTGACCTAATTTGTTTATATAAATTAGAGAGATAGATTTGAATGGGATTATTGTGTACCATATTGACATAAAAAAGGAAAAAAAATAAAAATGTTTGTCATCAACAACTGCATTAAACATTACATTATGCCAGGGTTTCCCAAACTGGGTTTACTTAAAAACTGCGGGGGGTTTGTGAGTTGCTGAAGTTAATAATTAATTAAATCATAAAAATGTAAAATTAAGCTGAATAAATTATTTATAAATAAAAAAACTAAATAAATGATTGAATAATAAAAATAGAAATGTAATTGAATTTGTTTACCTGCATGTTAATGTGACCATTAATCAACATCAGAAAACCCTGAACATGCAAATGTGTTGATAAAGTATTGAAACTTAAAATCAAGTCAATATTTTAGGTCAAAGGGATTCCCTGCATTACAAGAACAAACATTAATAAACATGAAAACAGCCATGACATTAAATGCCCAATAACATTACTACACAGCACTGTTCATAATAGATCACATTTTTTTAGAGGCCACAAAGTAAGTTCAAATTCAAATGCAGTACCTACTCAGACATGCGATTCAGACTCACTAGAAACTTCCAGACAAGCAGGTTGGAGCTAAAATCTTCACATTGTTGGCCCTCCAGGAGCAAGGTTGGACACCCTGCTATACACCATTAGCTTCAGGTGATGTAATATTTGGGATACTTGGAATATTAAATAAGGGATCTCAGTCTGCATTTGCCATGTGTTTTCTCTCTGCATGTAGCTGGGTTTGTTACCAGTACCCCGGTTACCGTGGTTACCAGTACATCATGGAGTGTGACCACCATGGTGGCGAGTACAAACACTACAGGGAGTGGGGCTCCCACGCTCAGACCTTCCAGGTGCAGTCCCTCCGCCGGGTTCAGCAGTGAGGGCAACTCGCCCAGCTCCCTTCCTCCCTCCCCCACAGACCTCATCCTCTTCCTCTTCCTCTTCCTCCACCGCTTCCTCAGCCCCACCCCTTCATTCCGGTACCGGCAAGCCCAGCACAGGCTGAATGTCTGGTGCATTCGGCAAATGTTTACGGTGCTTTCATCTTTCTGCATGCCATCGATTTGAAAGAAAAAAGTGAGAGGAAGAATTCAAGCAGAGAGGAAGATTCTGTCAGCGGCACAGTGCTCCTCATCGCTGTCATGATGCAGTCTGTGCAAAAGAGATCAATAAAGGGTACACTTATGAAAACTACCTATTGTGAGAGTTTGTTTGATGCATGTAGTGTAGTTTCAAGCTTTGTAAAATGGCCCAAATTGTAATGTCACAAAATTGGACCGTTATTAACACCAAAATATCATATAAATGTTGTTATAAAGACTTAATGGCCAATGGTTTTTGAGTACTGGGACAAAATAAGTTGGAAATAAATCAATTCAAGTTTATGTAACAAGGAATTATTGATTTCACATATGCTTGGGTGCAATATCGACTTCCCTTACCTGTCATTCATCATGATTACATGGAAAAGGTGCCAAATATTATAATGACAAATCTAGCATTAACTTAATTAATTAATATATTTATGAATGATTTTTAGATCCATCTACTGAATCATCACAATCAGAATAATCAAATATTTTTTGATAAAACAATTATATTCTGTATAACATGTATTAAAAGCTGCAGCCACTTTGTTTTTCTGGTGTTAATACAAACAAGTTTACAAAATCTAAAAATGGCCAAAATTATATAATGTTTTTTCATAAAATAGGGAAGTAATATATTTACCTCTATATTAAAAGTATAATTTTCAATCAAAAATATAGGTTTTTATCTTTTGAGTTTTATTTTTTTGTTTAAGACTTTTCATTTTCATATACCAATTTATATATATTTATTTATATAATTTAAATTTATATTTTAATAGTTTGAGTTATATTTTTTTCAATTGTATATATTTAAGTATACATATTTCTATACACTATATATATATATATTTATATTTTTATAATATATATTTATAAAGGCATAAGGTGTTGAATTCTGTTCTAAGGACCCGAAGTACACTAGAAATGGTTATAGGGGTATTATAATAATAATATAATGTCATCGTTTTGGCAAAAAAATAAAATGTTTGATTTTTGTTAAGAACTTTATAGCCTATTGGTCATCTCTAAATTATTTTACAGTGGAAATTGTGCTTTTTAATAAAACAAATGGTATGTAATGTTGTGGGATATTTTTTGTGATATCAAAACTGGCTTATTATTTGTCTTTTCTTTTGATCTTGGGTGCTCTCTCTTTAGGAAATGAGATTCACCCCTGACGTAGAGAAATCGCGCCACCCAGCGTTTGTTAGAAGTTAACGCCCGGAAGCTGTAGCTGGCAGTTACGAAAACATAAACACGACAAAGTAGCGGAGCAAAGCACATGATAAGTCTGCGATCCGCCGTTAAATAAGAAGAAGGAGAGGAAGCAAAGCACACGTGCTCTCCTCAACTTTGAAAATTTGCAACATCGCTTAATTGACGCGCTCAAAGAAACTAATGTCTGTGTTGTTGTCAGTGCTGGTCGGTGTGCTTGCTGCATACGTACTTATTTATTACAGCCTGTTTAAAGGAGCCAGATTTAAGAGCAACCTGACGTTAAAGGGGAAAACAGCAATTGTTACAGGTTAGTATAATTTAAACGCTTTACATATGAAACAATCCAATCCAACTTAATACCACTTAAGTAAATAAAAACTGAACTTCTTACTAAGACTAATTTAATAGTGGTTATACTAAGTTGTATACAGTTGTATTTGAGTACCACTGTCCTCAGTACATTTATTTGATTTGTTATAATATTTATTTTATATTATGTCTATTGTAGTTAGTTTGAACACTTAACACTGGCTCAGGGTTGAGTAATCAATAATCTGTATGCAGGGAGTAATACTGGCATTGGCAAAACAACAGCCTTGGATCTGGCCAAGAGAGGGGCTCGAGTGATCCTCGCCTGCCGAAACAAACAGAAAGCTGAAGCTGCAGTTTATGACATACGAAAGGTGAACTCCTCTACTAACCTCAATTCCTCCTGGTTCTTATCATTTTTCTGACTCACGTCTCAAAGACAGACATTTTGCTGTATATCCCTCAGGAAAGTGGGAACCCTGAGGTGCTGTACATGCATCTGGACCTGGCCAGTTTGACGTCCGTGCGTGGTTTTGCAGAGACTTTTATGAAGAGTGAACCGAGACTCGACTTGCTCATTAACAATGCAGGTAAACTGAAAGGGATGAGACAGTATGCAAACTCTTGAAATGTTGTTTCATGATGATAGTTTGGTTCTCTTGTTTCTTTTGGTCTGGACCAAAAAAATAAATGATACATTTAGTCCTGGTTCACTTGGCATTCACGCAGTCATTTTTAAAATCGAACTTTAATGTACAAAACAAAAGGCATACAAAAGGATACAGTCACAACCTGACAGCTTTTATGACATATTTTGTTAACTAACTGAACATCCAAAACTGCTGTGTGCTGGGCTAATTGCACTCGATGTATATGTGTACATATGGTGCCATTTTTTTTTTTACCAGCTTATAACTCACGAAGAGCTTATAAAATGTGTAAAGGTGTCAATTCAAAACAGCACCAGGAATTACTCTGTTGCACACATAAAGATCTGCTGTAAGGAGACGGTCTCAACTCTGGCCCTCGAGGTCCACTTTCCTGCAGAGTTTAGCTCTAACCCTGATCAAACACAGCTGAACAAGCTAATCAAGGTCTTCAGGATTACTAGAAACAAAGCCACTCAAAGGCAAGCCTATGGAGGACGAAAAATGCAGAAATGAAAAATAAATAAATATATCGGTAAATACATAAATAAATGTATTAATAGGAAAATAAGTAAAGACATAAATGACTTGATAAAACAAATATGTGACCCTGGACCACAAAACCAGTCTTAAGTTGCTTGGGTATATTTTTAGCCATAGCCAAAAAAAATTGTATGCCAAAAATCATTAGGATATTAAGTAAAGATCATGTTCCATGAAGATATTTTGTAAATTTCCTACTGTAAATATATCAACACTTAATTTTTGATTAGTAATATGCATTGCTAAGAACTTCATTTGGACAAATTTAAAGGCGATTTTCTCAGTATTTAGATTTTTTTTGTACCCTCAGATTCCAGATTTTCAAATAGTTGTATCTCGGCCAAAATTGTCCTATCCTAACAAACCATACATCAATGGAAAGCTTATTTATTCAGCTTTCAGATGATGTATAAATCTCAATTTCAAAAAATGTACCCTTATGACTGTGAAGTGAAGATCGATGTACACTCTAACAGCTAATATTGCTTACAACAATAATATTGCTTAGAACTACAAACACGCATAAAAAGTGGCCAAACATGGCGGATATGCGAGACCTACTGACAGGTAGAGCAAGGGGTTTGATTTTTAAATAATCAATGTCTAACCTGATGAACAAATATTTATTTAATGTTATCCGTGTTATATTTCATCTGCAGCAACATTGTGACCTTTTATAAAGATACGTTTGGTCATTAACTTATAAATGCATCATTATGCAAACACGTGCAGAGTTGGGATGCAACTCAAGGTTCGGATGGCAGTGTTCACACTTATTTAAATTAACCGCACAAACAGAGCAATCGCACCAGAGTTTCTTTCAACCAAACCAGCCAACTGTAAACACGCCCTTAGTGTGTGTGGCTTTCTCTCTAGGTCTTATAGCATTAGGCAGAACTGAAGATGGCTTTGGCATGGCGTTCGGCGTCAACCACCTGGGCCACTTTTTGCTGACGCTGTTGCTGTTGGATCGTTTAAAGCAGACAGAGCACAGCCGCGTCGTCAACGTGTCCGCCCTGCTGCATCGACTGGGGTCTGTGGATTTTAACCTCCTCAACACTCACAAGGATCTGGTCACAGGTCAGTCATCCTGGCACGCGTTCAGAGCCTACTGCCACAGCAAACTGTGCAATGTGCTCTTTACCCGTGAGCTCGCAAACCGACTGGAGGGGACGAGTGTCACTTGCTATTGCCTGCATCCAGGTTAGTGGGGCATTGTTTTTGTCCACTATTATGTTACAAGTATTATTTTTTCGCTACATTTTCTTCATTGTCTCATCTTTAGGTGTAATAGCCACTGAGATCGGTCGGAATATGGGTGTGCTGCAGAAGCTGCTTTCCCTGCCCATGTCCAAGCTGTTTTTTCTGGACCCAGAGGAAGGTGCGCAGACCACGCTTTACTGTGCTTTGCAGGAGGGGCTCGAGCCTCTGAGTGGACGGTATTTCTCTTCCTGTGCCTTGCAGAATGTTAGCGCTCACGGACGGGATGATGCCTTGGCCAAGAAGCTTTGGGAATTGAGCGAGAGGCTGTGTGGTCAGTAAGTGAGCTCACACAGGTTTGTAGAACAATAGAACTCTAACACAGAAAAAAAGAGATCACGTTATGAACAGCGTTATGAGCATCAGCTTCTGAAGTTTTTCAGGTGTTACAGGTTTGCATTTTCAACAGGTGTATGCATTGTATTTGGTATATAATACCTTATAATATATTGTTGCTTTAAATGAACACAACACATTTAAATTAGGAGTGCACTGATATATTTAATTTCTGATACAATAAGCCGTTAATTATTTTTTTTGTTATGGCCCTATAAATGGATGAATTTAAAATTCTATACTATTTTATCTTAATTAAAAAATTATAATAAAAAAGTTGTTCTAAATGCTACAAGTGAATAATGTACAGTTTATATCTACCTAATTATTATTAAATGTAGTGTTTTTAAAAATGAACTTAGACTGTTAAATTATGGCAAAAGTAAAATAAATGTAAAAATAGGAGAACTGAGCATAAACAATAAATTATAATGTAATATTTGAATAATTAAATTATTGGTCAATAACTAATATGGTACTAATATATTGTGCATCCCTATGTTAAATAAAGCAACCATATATGCATAGCTAGGGGAACAGTAACGATAGTAACCTTTGTAATGCCTATTATTTTTGTTGAAAATATATAGAGGTGAAGTTGCGAATTTGTATTCACTCACTGGACACAATGGACGTTGTATTAAGGTTTAATATGGTGTATTTTATCATAATTGATCTATCTATCTTTCTTTCATATATTTAATATCTTTCATTTCTTTTTTTTCATATGTTTCATATCTTTCTTTCCTTCTTTCTGTCAAATATATTATTCTATATCGGTATATATTAGTACACAGGAATATTTCTTTCTCTGCACTATTTCATAATGCATAATGCATAAATGTTACTATTTTTTTTATAATCAGTGCTTTTGACCTGAATGCATCCACTTTCTTTTAAAACTCGTGACCACTTCAAATACCTCATGTATTTGAAAACCAAAATCATTTGAAGAAAAAAAAAAAAAAACTTTATGAACATCAATTTCTTTTCAAGCATTTGAACACTTTTTGCCTTGTCTGATAGGGTGTTGTACTTTTTTGGTTCACTGGGTGGCAGTAGCGTGTCACATTTGACAGCCTTCAACTCAGGGCGACACAACCTGAAGAGTCTACAGAGACCTCTGTCAAGATGACAATCATTAGAAAAAAGTAGGTTAGATTACACTGAGAATTGCAGAAGTAATTTCATGTAATATTAGAGTTTGCTTTTCTACTGAATGAAAGTGGGCATCAGGGGCTACAGCCATTCAGTGTGATGGGATAACCAAAACGAGGACTTGTTATAGACCCTTACCCATATCCATGCATCTTCAACAAGACCCCCTGTTGCTAATAAATCCTTTACCTCGAACTGGGATTGTCACATTTTTGACATTGTTTAGACTTAACATCCTGTTTATATATGCTGACTTATTCTCTGCCTTGTGAGTCTGTATACTGTCCAGGTGGATGAATCTGGTTTCATCCAAAGCAATTTTCCCAGTCTCTTCTGTGCACTATTGTTTTGTAGCCTGGAAGTATCATATTCATATCCATTGAATGTCACTCATGCCATATTTACAGGTGCATCTCAATAAATTAGAATGTCGTGGAAAAGTTTATTTAATACACAAGTTTCACAATTTGAGTTGAATTACTGAAATAAATGAACTTTTCCATGACATTCTAATTTATTGAGATGCACCTGTATATGATCATGACAGTCAAATCTCGGCGTCCTCCGTGTGTTGGTTCTCATGAACGGTAAGTGTGTAACTACACCGTCCCCTTCGATTCGTTTTGTAGAAGTAAAACACATTGATGAGTGACGGCAGGTGTTTACTTTGGACACACTCCAGAGCTCTTTGACACAGTACTTAACGACTGGATTAGTGCATCAATTAGCAATCACTGCATGGGAGGAGCCTGATTGATCGAGAGTACTGCTGCTGCTGCTAAGGCTGAGCGTGGGGCATGCTGGGGCATGCGAGTGTGTGTGTGAGACTGTAGTGACCAGCTGCTTGAGAATTAGTTCAAAGGACTAATTTCACTGCATGATTGGCAGAATAAAACCATACAGCCCTCGTTGACCTAGTAAGGATATCAAATGCATACCTGGAACTGCCACATGATTGTGATTTGCTAAAGTTAATGTGTAATGTGTCAATGTAGAATTGACTGTAATATAAAATATTTGTTGTTTATTATTTTATATCATGGTATATTACAATACAAAGAATATTATATTAATTACAGTGAGACAACTAATGATATTATAATAGTTGTCTTGTAATATATTTGTCTTGTTTATATTTTTATATATTACAATACAAGATAACATTTTTATTGTATTATAATGAGAACTATTATCAAATTGTGTTTAATTGTCATCATAATAGTGTGATAGAATAATTATGAGACAACTGTTATAATAGCGTATTATGTCTCATTATGAGACATTGAAATAGTTGTTTCATGTTATTGTTATATTATAATGAGACTGTAATATAATATAAAATAATAGTTCTCATAATATAATATTTATTGTCTTATTAAAGTACAAGGTAAAATTATTGTAGTATTGAGAACTATTAAATTATATTTGTCTCAGAATATAATACGATTGTTTAATAAGTTGTCTCAATTTTTGTATATAATTACAATACACTATTATAATAGTAGTTTTCTCATTATAATTATTAATATAATACAATCTTTTTAATCTCATATAATATTGTATATGTATTGTAATATATATTTACATAATAGATTTTTTTTAAAGGGGTCATGAATTGAGAAATCGAAATTTCCGTGATCTTTTGACATATAGGAGGTCTTTGTACTATAAAAATGTCCTGTAAGTTTCAGAACTCAAAACTTTCTTGTTAGTCTAAAAACAGCTTATATTGAATCCAATCTGCCAAAACGACAGGTTGTGGAATGTGCCACATTATGACGTAATAGTGTGGCTAAGCACCGCCTCCACAGAAGAAGATCAATGCCTGTTCCTACATCACTGCCTGTTTAGCCCCACCCACCGATTCACGCACATAGTGAATAATGAGAGAGGCAAATGCAGGTCTACCCTGAAATCAAACAATAAAGATGGCTCTGAAGACAGTGTCAAGTTGTGGAATTTAAAACTTTATTTTTAATGAAGATCCAGACTTCGTCAGTAAGAACTTGGCCCTTTGATCACTTCATTTTACCGTGGATTCGTTTATAAACAAGGCACAATTCGATGCAGGATTTTCAGAAAGACTGAAACGAAAGACAATGCTATGCCGACCATATTGGATCTGACAAGAATGTCGCAACACACAAGTGTGAGTAACTGTTTTTATTTCAAATGATCTGTAATAACAGACAAAGAATAGTGACCACATGTCACTATTGCTTTGTCTGTTATTACAGATCATTTGATATGTACAGAGTGTTTAAGCATTTTTACCCAAATCACATCAGCGTCCATCTATGAAGGATGTAGGCTGTCAAACTTACACAACTGTTAGCCAATCATAGCAGTGGGCGTTTACTTCCGAGTCTACAATCCGCCACGCGAGCGTTCGATGAGGGGGTCAAAAAATGTAAAAAAAAAAAAGTGTAGTCTGTGTTTAGGAAACTTCTTTAGCAAAAAGAGGGTGTTTTTACAATTTTGTTAAGTGCTGCTACTGTTACAAAATACACTGCAGCTTTAGTTTTTATTTCATGTGTTAATAATGAATCTATAATACATAATAATAATAATAATGAATAACAATACATAAATATTCAACAATGACAAAATTTACAGTTTTCAGGGATACAGACCAAAAATATTGATGACTCATCCTGCACTACACAGGCTCTCGTCCAATCAGATACTCTGTATTATGGCAATATCCCACCCCTAATACCACCTGCAATTGATGACAAGTAGCCATTTGCATCGAAGATATCTGTGAAGTAACTTAAACTGGTTGGACATTTATAAAAGGCAAAAGCTCTTCGTATTTCCCACTCAAACCTTTTTTTGTAAATAGGGAATGTCCAGCAGTTTCATGGGGTTTTAAGCTATATTTTTAATAGCACATCTCTAATTGGCTGTGGCCAGTGAGCTCATTTCATTGGCTCAGTGTGTGCAGTGGCTGGTTTTCTGGGAACAGCACTCTTCCATCTCAGTCTGAGGGGAGGGAGAACGGCAAAGTGATGCTGGGTCTCACTTTAGAGTAACACGTGAGGTGTGAGATGGGAAGAGAACGGGTTCGATCGTGAGACTGGGTGACAAACATTTTGGAGAGTCATTCAAATACAGGCTGCTTGTGTCACAAGCAAAGCCTTCCTATTTTTCCTTCTCGCCCACCCCATGCGGAAATGGCATCTGAAGGCGGTAAATAGAAGCATCCTTTGGGTCATGTTATTTCCACAGGTGCAATTAACACCCCCATCTGCTAATCTGTGATTAACGATGTTTACAAATATGCTGCAAATGCCGGAGAGTGTCTGAATAGCTGGTCACACCTTCCTCTTACTCCTTTCCCTCTCTAGTCTGTCTTCTTCCCTGCTATTGTGTGCTGGATTGTGTGGATTAGTAATTAGGGTTTGGGTGGGAGGTGGCAGAAGGAAACCAGACCCTTAAAGCAGTAGGCATCACAACAAAAAATAAAATAAAAATAAATTCCGTTCATTTAATTCTGTAGGGTCCAGAAGTCTAAGATCACTATTGACTTTTGTTTTTCTAATTTAATAAAAAAAAATCATTATAAATGATAGTATTTGCATATGAATGTTACTGAAAATTGTAATGAAAAATGTACCTGAATTTCAAAATGTTCGATTTGTCCCCTTTTTTTTTTTGCATGTTTTTTCATGTTGTCCATTTTGATACAAAGAGCTTCAATGGCCTCATCTGACCTTTTGTAAATAGGAATTCACATAAGTGAATTTATTTGATATATAATTAGAGATTTAGACGTAG